CAAAGTAGCAAGAACTGCACTTAAAAGGAGTCAGAAAGTCATGCGATCCTCAGCCTATATGACTATGAAACCTCACAGAAGTTTTTGCATAGAAGCCACCATGTGAATACTGTTATTGTTTGCTTCCATGGAGTCAGCCCTCTACTCATGGCAACCCTGTGTGCAATGGAAGAAAGTACTGTATGGTCCTGTACAATGTCCATGATTAGCTGCAGATCACACCACTGTGATCCAATATTAGACTCAAGCCTACAACAGGGACTATTCCGTCCAAACCAATGCAGTGCTCTTTAGCTGAGCTACTCAACTTAAGCTTAACGGATTCTTTTTTTTTTTTTATTGTTCTATACAGATATATAGGAGCTCTGGTTACACAGTGCCTAAAGCACTTGACTGCTAACCAGAACGCTGGCGGTTCAAACCCACCAGCCACTCCTCGGAAAGGAAGATGGGGCAATCTACTTCCGTAGTGATACTGCCTCGGAAACCCAAGGAGGGGTCGCTAGGAGTCGGGTTCGACTCGACGGCACATAACAACAAAAACATACAGATATATAATGTCTTCCACTTCAACAAATTATTAAACATAGGTATGCTAACTCTAGGACTCCTTGCATATACCCTATTAGTAAGTGGCTGGTGATATTCCAGTTTCCAAAGCCTACTTAAAAACATTTAGTTTCCTTACTACCAAAAAGCCTAATTCTCAGTTTGCTCAAGTGAGAAAGGAAGACTCTCCTTTACAATAAACAAAAAAAACAAAAACTCACTGCCATCGCATCAATTCTGACTCATAGTGACCACCTCTGGGTTTCCCAGCAGTAAATCTTTATGGAAGTAGGTTGCCCAGTCTTCCTACGGCGGAATGGCTGGTGAATTTGAACCACCAACCTTCTATTTAGCAGTCAAATGCCTTAGGCACTATGCCACCAGACCGCCTTCTCCTTTATACCAGTAGCTCATTACTGCATTTTTCACCCTCCCCCAGTGCTCTCCATTTCTACATCTTTGCTTCTCCCATTCAGCCTGCTCACTCTCACCAGTCTACTCACATGCTACATATAATTTAAGGTCAAGTTCATATGCCACGCATAGCAATCACAGACCAATTTCACACAGGGAATTTATAATGTGTTATCTATACTAGCACTTCCAAATATGTATTCTAAGGAACATTAGCATGCTTAAAAGGGTTAATAAATCATCTAGTAAGTTTGTGAATATTGAGCACTACATATCTCACTTTTTAAAAGCCATAATGTATGTTACATTTTAAAGGCTCTGAGAAGTCCTATAGCAAAGATCCAAAGACAGTTGGACCAGTAATTTTGACATTTATGTGATCAAAGAACATTTATTTCACTGAACATCAACTAACAAACATTGTGAAGCACACCAGCATTAAGTACTAGGTTGCTAACTGGAAGGTTACAGGTACAACCCCACCAGCTGCTCAAGAGAAAAGATCTAGCAATCTGTTCTGTCAAGACTACAGACTAGGAAACCCTATGGGTCAGTTCTACTCTATCCTATAGGGTTGCCATGAGTCAGAATCAACTCGATGACACACAACAAGAATTTCCCAAAGTACAATTTGGGTTATTCTGGCTTTTGTTTTTTGTCTGTTTGGAAATTAACTGTATACTTTTATATGGTTATTAAATTTACAGTTATGTGTCTGTCACCCAAAACTAGACTGCAAGTGCCTTAGGATAAAAAAACTATTTCTATTACTTACTTTCACTACCTTACTGTCTTAGACATCGTAGATAGTCAATAAATACTTACAGAATCACAGTGAATAAAGACAATACTGAATTTCTTCCACATAGTCACAAAGTGCACAATTGGCCTTCTTTTCATAAGGCAGAATACAGTGCTGCTGGTATATTAAACATTAAAAGAACTAAAAGAATCAAACCTAGACCAAGACGTTTCGATTGAAGACCTTGCTGAACTGCAGGGTTAAGTATTTCATTACAGTAAGCAATCCCTAACTTACAAGTCTTTAACCGATGACTTAAACACTGCAACACACATACACATACATATACGAGTGCACATACAGAGACAATAGGTAACTTAATGATTGGCAAAAATGTCTATAAAAAAATGATCAAAACAATGAAGAAATTTGAAATTATGTAAAAACTACCTGAAGAAAATGGGGAAAGCCTGGAAAAAAATTCATTGGTGAGGATGGATGGGGAAAGGGAGAGTATTCATGTAAAAAGTAAAGAGAAATGGCATAACATACTACACAAAACATTGTTCCACATCCTACTTTGGCGAGTAGCAACTGGGATCTTAAAGGCTTGCAAGAGGCCATCTAGATGCAACGATGGGCTTCTATTAGCCCAGAGCAAAGAAGAATGAAGAAAACCAAAGACACATGGAAACAATTGGTGCAAGTGATCAGTACACCATGTGATCCTCGGCCTATATGACTACGAGACCAGACAAACTAGATGGTGTCCAGCTACTACTGTCAACCACTTGGAAGAGGATCTATGTAGGAGATCCTGGATAGAGTGGGAGAACAATATAGAACAAAACTCAAAATCATTAAAAAAAAAAAAAGGACCAGATTTGCTGGTCTGATAGAGCCTGATGGAACCACTGAGACTATGGCCCCTAGCTGCCCTTCATGTCTGGAACTGAACCTACTCTTGTGGCTTCCAGCCAAACAAAAGACAGGCATAAGAGCTGAACATTTACATTACATAGATATACTCCTTAGAGAGAGATCAATCATGGAAAAATAGAAGGGCTGTGTATGCACAGTGAAATACCTTGGGAGGGGCAGGAGTGCATGGGAGGGAAGGACACAGGGAAGAAGTAATTATGGGGAGGAAGTGGGAGGGGAGCTGTTGCATTGTGGGAAACTGTAGTCAACATCATGAGACAAAGTATATGAGTTACTCAGTGGAAAGTGAATTTGCTCTGTAAACCTTCACCCAAATCACAATAAAAATTTTTTTAAAAAGTAAAGAGTAAGAGATTAATAGTTAAAAGGAGAGGAAAACTGATTTTAGCTCACCATAAAAACTTTTAATAATGTGAAATGGGCTGCTCAAAGGAAGTGTGTTTCCATCACTGGAGATGAAAAAATCACAGGCTGGACAATCCACTGGCTAAGAATGTTGTAGGACACATTGAATATCAGATAGGAGGGAGGATTTCAAAGCCTCTTAAATTCTTTCAATACCATGTTTCTAGAGCCCTAAAATATCCATCTTGTTCCAATCCACAAAACCTGCTCCCACTGACACGGCACAGAGAAGACAAAAAAAAAAAAAGATGTATTCCCATCATCCTGACCCAGAACTCAGAATAAATTCCCTGTAGAAACATGGCCATGGACAGTAAATACGGTTTAGAGAAACAGTCCTATGTTACAGAAACCTTATAAGTTAAATGCAATTTTTAGGAATCCAAGTTTCAGTCAATATTTTTTCCTTGGTTAAATGTGTTCTACATTCCAAAGTAACTCAAGACATCCTGTTCACAAGGGAGCTAACCTGTACTAATTTCCATGCTGTATTATTACTGATTTTTCTTCCCTAGAGTGTAAACTCTTTGTAGACAGACTATTGTTTATATTTCTGAATATTCCCACAGATCTTTAGCATGCTATTTGATTAACAACTCCTTCAACTAATGGGGATTAAGCTCATTGGACTGTCATGACATTTTGTAATTAACTCTTTTGTAGTGAGATAAGGTACAGACTGCTCAAGTTCAAGGCCTCCTTCTGTAACTTTGAAGCAATTTACACTCTCCAAACTTCAGTTTTCCTATCTGCAAAATGATGAAAGCTAAGATTACTGAAATCAGTCAATGTAAAAGTAACTGGCATAAGCTAGGTACTCAATAAACACTTAGCATAACGCTAAGCATGTAGTAAGCACTATGTAAGTATCAAATAGGATGTGGCCCTTATTACTATTGTCTGAATTTACTCAAAAATCACTGCCAGGTAATACTATTAAGAGTTGATTTTATGCTTAATTAAGTAATGCAACTCCTCCTCTTCCTGTCAAAATATTAAAATGACTAGTGTGATGTGCAAACTGTATACCTGATAAGTAAAATTTTTTCAAAGGCTCTGGAACACAAATCTGCTTCTTCCAGATTTTTCAAAAGGAGTTCAACAATCAAGAGACCGTGATTTTTCAAGAGGGAAACAATGGTATTCTGAACTTATGTCAATTAATCGAACAGGTCACACTGCCCAACAGTTCTTCTTTCCAGAGCCATTCCCATATCTCTCCTTTGTACTTGAAAGCAAGATACATCTAAGCTTTTCTCCGCCTAGAACCTGCAATTTCTCACTTATTAGGCCCCTCTCACTATGTGGAAGCTCAAAAAATCGTTACTGCAGCGACAAAGAGAGGCAGTAAGATGAGGTGTATTACAAATCCCTATAAGGAAAGGTATTCGAGAGGACCCAAGGTATCCATATCGCATCTAAGGCGGTCCAGCCAGAGGCCCCACAAAGAACTGCACCATCCAACTTAAGTGACAGACGCGCCGCCACCTCATCACACAGTTCACGCTCTTGCCTAATACTGTGCCACGCGTGCCCGGCGCAAAACGAGCACAACCAGCCCACAGATCCTTTCTCACTCTAGGTACCATTTCAACTGTACTGGAACCAACTTCTGCAAGAGCAAGAAAGACCCAACCTACCTGGGACAGATGCTGCTTTCCTCCAAATGCCAAGCTTGGAGACAAGGCGCATGCGCACTTCCCAGGAGTCGCTCCTGTCACTGGAAATGGCTGTGCTTTAGATAGCTCGACATTTGATTAAAAGGCCTTAATATGGGTTAAGCCCGGAATTCCCTATTGCGCATGTGCGCGCTCTAACCTTCATGGGATTTGTAGTTCTGCGGAAGAAGGGCTGAATTAGGAGAAAAAGAAACTGGTATCCGCCCTTCTTTCTCCCGGAGGGAATTCCTAGAGGGAGGAGGCGGAGCCAGCGGCCTAGAGCCAGGCTATCAGAACCTCTGCCTGCGATGCTTTTGCTTTGGTTGTCAGTGGTCACAACCTCGGCGTTCGCTTCGCCGCTCCCTGGAGCAGGTGGGCAGAGAGGCATAGCAGCTTTGGAACAGCCCGAGGCGCCTAATGTGGTGCTGATCGTGAGCGACTCCTTCGTAAGTACCATGAGGCAAGTGAGAGGGGCCCCTACTCAGAACCGGGGACTGGCGACCTGCCCACAGCCTCATCTCTCCCTCACTATTGGGGAGCAGAATCAAAGACATTTTTAATCATGTTTTACTCGTGTGTATCGTAAGAAATACACTTTACTTCCAGACTCTGTATGCACACACATGCACACTACACATATATGCTTAACCAAAAGTTTCAAAAAACAGTACTTTAGTAAATCAAATGCACTCTGATAGAGTCTTTGCAAATCTTTTTTTTTTTCATATAGTGACAACAACTCACTAAATTAATTTTACTACTACTAGTAAACTTTCGGGAGCTCTAGTAGCATAGTGGCTAAGACACTTGCCTGCTAACCAGACAGCTGGCGGTTCAAACCCACCAGCAACTCTTCGGAAGGAAGGTTGGGCAATCCTACTTCTGTAGTGATACTGCCTCGGAAACCCAAGGAGGGGTCGCTTTGTGTCGGGTTTGACTCGATGGCAAACAACAACAACAACAACACAGTAAACTTTCAGTACATACCCGTTTGTTTCAATTGTGGGCAAAAATAGCTTGTTGGCTTTCCAGTTCACCACAAGTTTGCAGGAATTAATATTTGGGTGAGAAATGAAGAGCACTATCTTACCCAGATATCTCATAGTGTTTTTCTGCTGAGTTAAATGCTTTAGCTGATATAATTTGATCCACTCCCCATATCCCAGAGAAATTGTATGTGTATATATGTGTGAGAGAGAGTGTGTTGTCCTCGCCATTATTGTTATTTAACCACAAATTTGAACAGATTTTGGAACTTTCCCAAGCCTTCAACTAAAAGAATAATGCTATCAACTTAACTAGTGCTTTTAACATTACCTATGCTTTAAAAACATCTACTTAGACAAACAGATATTTGGTTAATTATATTATTAGTTTACTATCACTGAAGATGGCATGATAGAATTTTGCAAGACCAACAACACAATGACTATACATGTGAACCGTGCCAGATGGAATACAGAGAAATCAAATTGATTATATCTGTGGAAAGAGATGATGGAGTAGCTTAATATCAGTCAGAACAAGGCCAGGAGCTGACTGTGGAACAATCAATAGTTCATATGCAAGTTTAAGTTGAAGCTGAACAAAATTAAGATAAGTCCACAAGAACTAAAATATGACTTGAGTATATCCCACCTGTGTTTAAATGAAAACATATTTGACACATTCAACTGGTGTTGAAGAAAACTGGATGAGTTGTGGGATGACATCAAGAACGTCATATATGAAGAAAACGAAAGGTCATTAAAAAGGCAAGAAAGAAAGAAAAGACCAAAATGGATGTCAGAAGAGACACTGCAACTTGCTAGTACTCATTGACATGTTTCAACCAATGGCTGCAACACTGGAAGTGCTCATTCATTTATGCCAAGAAATATGGAAGACAGCTAGCTGGCCAACCAACTGGAAATGATCCATATTTGTGCCTATTCCAAAGAAAGGTGATCCAACAGAATGCAGAAAGTAGTGAACAATATCATTAATAACTCACACAAGTAAAATTTTGTTGAAAATACTTCAAAAACCAATTAAAGCAGTATATCCACAAAGAAATGCCAGAAACTTAAGCTGTATTCAGAAGAGGACCTGGAACAAGTAATATCATTGCTGATGTCAGATGGATCTTGACTGAAAGCCAAGAATACCAGAAAGATCCTCTATCTGTTTTGTTTTGACTATGCAAAGGCATTTGCAATTATGGATAACACTGCAAAGAATGGAAACTACAGAACACTTAATTGTGCTCATGCAGAACCTGTACATAGACCAAAAGATGGTTTAAAATCGGGAAAGGTATGTGTCAGGGTTGTGTCCTTTCACCTTTACTTATTCAATCTGTATGCAGAGCACATAATCCAAGAAGCTGAACTATATGAAGAAGAACATGACATCAAAATTGGAGGAAGACTCATTAACAACCTGCAATATGCAGATAACACAACCTTGCTTGCTGAAAGTGAAGAAGTTTTGAAGCACTTAACTGATGAAGATCAAAAACTACAGCTTTCAGTATGGATTCCAACTCTAAAAACCAAACTCACTGCCATGGAGTTGATTCTGACTCATAGTGGCCATTTTTGGTTTCTGAGGCAATAAATCTTTACAGAAGTAGATTGCCCAGTCTCCTTCTGTGGAGTGGTTGGTGGGTTTGAACTGCCAACCTTCTGGTTAGCAGTCAAATGCTTTAGGCACTACACCACCAGAGCTCCTTCCGGTATGGATAACACCTCAATATAAAGGAAACAAAAATCCTAATTGGACTGATAAGTGACATCCCAATAAATGGTAAAAAGATTTACCATTTTTCAAATGGTTTTCAAGGATTTCCTTTTGCTTGTATCGACAGTCAACACCCATGGAAGCAATAGTCAAGAAATCAAACAACTTATTGCATTGGATAAATCTGCTGCAAAAGACTTTAGAGTGTTAAAGAGCAAAGATGTCTCTTTGAATATGACATAGGTGTACCTGACCCAAGCCATTGCCTTTTCAGTAGCCTCATATGTATTTGAAAGTTGGACAGTAAATAAGGAAGACCATGGAAGAACTGATGCCTTTGTATGTGTTGGCAAAGAACACTGAATATACCATAGACTGCCAAAAGAATGAACAAATCTGTCTTGAAAGTGATACAGATGGAATGCTCCTTAGAAGCGAGGATGGCCAGACTTCATCTCCTGTCTTAGGTCATGTTATCAGGAGAAACTAGTCCCTGGAGAAGGATATCATGCTTGGTAAAGTAGAGAGTCAGCGAAAAAGAGGAAGACTCTCAATAAGATAGATTGACACAGTAGCTGCAAAAATGGGCTCAGGTATAGCTGCAATTGAGAGCATAGTGCAGGACCAGTCAGTGTTTTGTTCTGTTGTATGTAGGGTTTCTTTGAGTCAAAACTGACTGAACTGCCCCTAAAAACAACAACATCACTGGATCTTACTGTGGTCACTTAAATGTGTGATTTTAAGCATTTCTGAACCAAAAAGTATGTTTTTAATAACTATGTTCTTTTGATTCCCCTGGGAGCTCTGGTAGCATAGTGCCTAAGGCACTTGACTGCTAACCAGAAGGCTGGCAGTTCAAACCCACCAGCCACTCCTCGGAAGGAAGGTTGGGCAATCCTACTTCCGTAGTGATACTGCCTCAGAAACCCAAGGAGGGGTCGCTATGAGTCGGGTCTGACTCGACGGCACATAACAACAACAGTAACAACAATTGATTCCCTTAAGGAGCTCTGGTAGTGCAGTGCTTAGAGAATGGAGAATATTGGACATTTCCATGAAAGAAGCTTACTATGAAGTGTTTTCAGATCAAAAGAACTAGAAGGAAGCAGGATTTTGGAGAGAGGGAAGTTGAGTTTCCTTGCGGTCTTAATGGAGGCCTCGTCTGACTTTTTGAGCAGTTCTCAAGCTTCATAGTTGTTCCCTGTTGGAGTAAGAGGACCAGCTGTTCATACCCTCATGTGGATTTTCTTGGGCAAGACAACTATCTTCAGCAGAGGAGTTTTTTATTCCTAAAAGGAGATCTGGGTATTACATCACATCATCATAGACATTTCCAAAAGTTATTGAGTTATTTAGGTTTGTTATTGTTTTTAGTATAGTATGAACACACAGCAGGAAAAAGATAAGGCAGTCTGCTTCCATAAAGATTTACAGCCTTGGAAACCCTGTGGAGTCACTATGAGTGGAAACTGACTTACTGGCAGTTGAGTTTAGTATATGTTTAAATGTTTTGCACTCATTACATTTATTAATGTTCAAACTGTCCTGTCTTTTGCCAGTAGAAGCCTTCAAGATTATTCCTAACTCATTAACTTATGATATGCAGATGACACAGCCTTGCTGAAAGTGAAGAAGACTTGAAACAGTTACTGATACAGATCAAAGACTTACAGCCTTCAGTATGGATTACACCTAAATATAAAACAAAAATCCTAATAACTGGACCAATAAGCAACATCGTGTTAAATGAAGAAAAGATTAAAGTTGTCAAGGATTTCATTTTAATTTGGGGTCCACAATCATGGAAGCAGCAATCAAGAAATCAAAGCATATAATTGTATTGGACAAATCTGCTGCAAAAGACCTCTTTAAAGATGTCACTTTGAGGATTGTGGTGTGCCTGACCCAAGCCATGGTATTTTCAGTCACATCATATGTATGCAATAGCTAGACAATAAATAAGGGAGACCATAGAATTGGTGTCTTTGAAGTATAATGTTGGCAAAGAAAATTAAATATACCATGGACTGCCAGAAAAATGAACAAATCTATCTTGGAAGATACTCCTTAGAAGAGAGGATGGCTAAAATTCACCTCACATACTTTGGTCATGTTGTCAGGAGGAACCAGTCCCTAGAAAAGGACATCATGCTTGGTAAAGTAGAGGGTCAGCGAAAAAGAAGAAGACCGTCATTGAGATGGTCTTGAGCCTTGTGGATCAAAACTGGTGACAATTGTGAAGATGGCACAGGACCAGGCATTGTTTTGTTTTGTCAGTATGAGTCAGCGACCCTATGTACAACACCAAGGGCACCTAACAACACCAAGGGCACCTTGCTTTGACAGTCTCAAGTACATCTTGTTTTCTGTCCCAACTTTGGAAATTATATTTAGAGACCACAATCTGCTTTTTAGTGCTTTCATTGCCTCTAGACATTTCCTGTGGCAGACCTAGAAAATACATATATTTTAGAGAATAATCATTCACGAGTTCATACTGACAGTTCCAATTAAATATTAAAAGATTATTAATTCTTACAATTTGTGTTTGTGTTTCTTTTATACCAAATATTTTGGTTCCTAAAGACATTAATAGGAGCTCTGGTAGCATAGTGCCTAAGGCACTTGACTGCTAACCAGAAGGCTGGTGGTTCAAACCCACCAACCACTCCTCGGAAGGAAGGTTGGGCAATCCTACTTCCGTAGTGATACTGCCTCGGAAACCCAAGAAGGGGTCGCTATGAGTCGGGGCCGACTCGACGGCAAATAACAACATAACAACAACAAAGACATTAATATAATTACATATTTGCTTTACCCAAATAAATGTTGTTAGCTGCCATTGATTCAATTCTCACTCAGGCCAACCCCATGTGTGAAGATTTGAACTGTTCCTTAAGGTTTTCAGAACTCCTCTGGACTCCCTCCTGGGCCCCTTTCTTTCCTCTCTCTAAATTCTCTCCCTTAGAGGTTTTATTCACCCCTAAGGTTTTCAATACCGTGTTGTTGTTGTTGTTTGCCATCGAGTCGGACCCAACTCATAGTGACCCCTCCTTGGGTTTCCGAGGCAGTATCACTACAGAAGTAGATTGCCCAGTCTTCCGAGGAGTGGCTGGTGGGTTTGAACCACCAGCCTTCTGGTTAGCAGTCAAGTGCCTTAGGCACTATGCTACCAGAGCTTATTTCACCAGGGTAGAGTTCTCTGAGCTCAGGATTCCCATGGGTCCCCAAAATCTCTCAGTCTGGAAATCTCAACATCTCAAGGGTTTTATGTATGTCCCAAACTTTGGATTGACTCATCTCTTAAACTAATTTGTTTATAATTATATTGAAAACATTATAAAAGTGTGACTCTAGGAGTAGAGTATCCTTTTTTTCTGTCTTTGCTTTTCACTAAGAGAAGTTCTTCAATTTCCAATTCAGTCCCCAAATGTGTATGTCCCACCCACCCAGCCATCTCTCCTAATCTTCAGACTCGTATATCCAGGTGCCTGATTGACATCTCCACTTATTTGAATGACTAGATCCTTCTCATTCTTCAGGGTTCATACTTCCTAGAAAAGCCTTGCCTCTCCACCCCTTCTAAAGTAGGTCTCCTTTGTTATCCTGTATCTCAAGTTTTCTTCAAAGCACTGATCACAATTTGTAATTAATAGTGGTTTTAATTTTTGCCAGTATAATTTTGGCCTCCCCCATATGACTTTAAGCTCTATGGGGGCAGGGACTATGTCTGTTTTATTCACCACTGTACCCCTAGATCTTGCACAGTGACTTGCACATAATTAAGTACTTAAATACTCATTCAATCAGTCCATCATCTCTCAAAAGAACTTTTCAGGAAGTCCTTTAAAACATTTATTATATTCAAATGAATGTTAGTGTAACACTGTGCTGAATTCTAGCTATTTATGGACTAGAAACACTTCCTACGTTTGTTTTTTATCTTTTGAGGATTCTTAACGGTCATACTAAAGTCATTTGCTACTTGTGTATTTTACAGTTAAAATGAAAGGAAACATACTTCTTTAGTAATGGAATCAATGTATCCAAATGTCTTTATTCTAGGATGGAAGACTCACATTTCATCCAGGAAGTCAGGTAGTGAAACTTCCTTTTATCAACTTCATGAAAACTCATGGCACTACCTTCCTCAGTGCCTACACAAACTCTCCAATTTGTTGCCCATCTCGAGCAGGTATGAATGAACATGCTTGATATTAATGAAAGAAAGTGGCAACACATTGAAAATAAATTCACAATTAAAAGGGTTATACCAAAAAGTCATATTGGTTGCTTGTAAGTTTTCTTTAAAAAAAAAAAAAAATTGTAAGAGATGTATGTTCTCAAGTATGTTTTGGACATTGGGATTATTAGAATTTCTAATTATTTTTCAGAAGTAGGAATTTTATTTTCTAAAATAATGTCTAGTTCATATGTTACAGTTTCATTTCCTTATCATCTGTGACTAAGAATCTTTTCATGATACAAAAATGAAGAAGTATTCATATTTCCTAAAAGAGTCCTATTTCCAAAGAAATTTTTCAGTAAAGGCATAGGAACATACATGAATTTCAGAGTACAGGTAGTCCCCAATTTACAACTGGGTTCCCTTCTGACATAAGTCAAGTAACTCTTTTTTTATCATTTTTATCATTTTCATTATTATTGCCTTTCATTATCAATATCTTTATAAATCTGGTCTTTGTCTTTGGGGGTTGGAAATGTTACATATAAACATAAGCAAATTATGTCTGCAGCACTGTATGTAGTACATATTACTAACAATAAGACATATAAAAATATAAAAATTGTCATAAGTACAAAAAAAAAAAGAAACCCACTGCTGTTGAGTTGGTTCTGACTCATAGTGACCTCCATTGGGTTTCCAAGGCAGTAAATCTCTTTGGAAGTAGATTGCCCCATCTTCCTTCCACAGAGTGGCTGGTAGTTTTTTGAACTACCAACCTTCGGGTTAGCAGTCCAGGGCCTTAGGCACTGTACTACTAGAGCACCATAACTGAAATATGTTGTAAGTTAGGGACTACTTATGTATCAGAGCTACTTGAATATTTACATATTATTTCAGATTACATACTTTAATCTCTTTCTGTTCAGTCTCAATTTACTGCTACCCAAATCCAATTGTTCACTTTTGTCATAGTAATGTAACAAATGGGCATAGTTGTAATGGCAAAATTTTAGTGACATTGAAAAAAAAATGCCATTGATTCCAATTCATAATGACTCCCTGTGTTAGAGAGTAGAACTATCTCATAGGGCTTCCAAAGTTGTAATCTTGCTTAAAGCATCTAACGCTGGTATTTTTTATTATAGAACATGAACTCGAAACTTGTAGACTATACCCCTTCTTGGTAATAGTCTTAATAGGTAAAATAAGTGAAGCCTTACTTTAACTATTGTTCCATATTATTTTTCAGCATTGTGGAGTGGCCTGTTCATTCACTTAACAGAATCTTGGAATAATTTTAAGGGCCTAGATCCAAATTATACAACATGGATGGATGTCATGGAGAAGCATGGCTACCGAACACAAAAATTTGGAAAACTGGATTATACTTCAGGACACCACTCTGTTAGGTAAAAAAAAAAAAAGAAGAAGAAGAAGAAAAGAATAAGCTGCCTTCTGCTACAGTGCATATATATATATATACTCTTTTTAACTTTTATTTTTTCATATCTCTACAAGGTGAAGATAAATCTCTTAATCCCTGGATTATGTTAATCTGGCTAAAATGTTGTTGTTGTCAGGTGCCATCGGGTCGGCTCTGATTTGTAGCAACCCAGTGTACAACAGAATGAAACACTGCCCAGCTAAAACTTTAGCTCTCTTTGATCTTCTTAAAATATTAAAATTGCTAAAATGCTGATTATTTTGTTTTTCTTAAACATTAAAGGACTATAGTGTCTATAAAATTATTTAGCTCATGATTTTGATTGACTTTTCATTATATATAGGCTATTTTAATGCTTATTTTATAATGTGCCTTACAAACCACAATATTTTTCTACTTGCCTTTGATAGTTCTCTCTCATGTGAATCTGTCGTAGCTCCCATACCCCTCCCCATTTCACTAAGAAGGCTGGCATTCAAACCCACCAGCCACTCCTTGGAAAGAAGGTTGAGCAATCTACTTCCGTAATGTTACTGCCTTGGAAACCCAAGGAGGGGTCACTATGAGTTGGATCCGACTCCACGGCAGTGAGCAACCAGATAGCTAAGGACAGTGGTTAAAAGTAGAGGTCTAGAATCAGATTGTTCCATAACTACTAACCTTGTCTAGTGCAATCTAAGGCTCATCATCTAAGCTAACTAATCGAATTTCCTTGTGATGATTAGATGAAATAATATATGCAGAAAAGTGCTAACATAGCAGGCTACGTAGTTAGTTCTTGGCTGGCATCTAGAAATTTGGATTTTGGCGTTATCCCAACATTTCCTGATTGGTAAGAGTGGCTCACTATCTGTGCAGTGTTTATACTGAACACTTGCTTTCCTTCTGGGAGTCTGGAATTTTGCTGCCTGCTAGGCAGAGAAGAAATCAGAGAATTATTAAATTTGTCTTGGAAGAAGTACAACCAGAATGTTCCTTAGAAGCAAGGATGACAAGACTTTGTCTCACTAACTTTGGGCATGTTTTCAGGAGGAACATTATGCTTGGTAAAACAGAAGGTCCATGAAAAAGAGGATGACCCTCAGTGAGATGGATTGACACAGTGGGGGTGCAACAGTAGGCTGAAACACAGCAACAATTGTGAGGATGGTGCAGGTCTGGCAGTGTTTCATTCTGTTGTCCATAGGGTTGCTGAGTCAGAACTGACTCAATGGCACCTAACAATAACAGCTGGCAGATAGTGTCTATGTGAACAGCTCCCAATATAAACCTTGGATACTGTGTCTCTAAAGAGCTGCCTTGGTGGACGACACTTCATATGTTCTATCTCAATTCAGTGCCAGAGGAATTAAACATGTCCTGTCTGTCTCCACTGGGAGAGGACTCTTGGAAGCTTGTACCTGGTTTATTCCAGATTTTGCCCCAAGCTTCGTTTTCTTTGCTTATTTTTCTCTGTATCCTTTCCTTGTGACGAATCATAGCCATGAGTAGAATTATTGCATGTGTTGAGTCCTGTGAGTCCTTCTAGCAAATTTGGCATGATCTTGGTAACCCTTGACACAAATACTAATTAAGACCTTAGAGCAGTGCCTCTTACTAGGAGGTGCTAACTGAGGGTTAATGGTAATGATAGTAACCATGATCAAGATGCAATGATGATGATAAGTAGCAATAGGAAAAACATTAATCAAAATAATAGTGAGTTTTGGATAAACTGGTACTAAGATGATCTAGAAAAGCCTGAGCATTAATCTTGCTCATCTGGTTAATATTAATTTTTTTTTTCTTTTCCAATTTCCAAATCTAAAAAGAAAGCAATACGGGAAACCCAGGAGTGACCCTGGCATCTCTTCCCCACCTGAGTCTTCCATCAACAAATGTTGACAGTTCTACTTCTAAAGTATTTCTCCAGTTCATTCATCTCTCACCAGTGCCACCATGCTACCATCATCTCTTGCATGTTGTTGTTGTTAGATGCTCTCAAGTCATCTCCAACTCATAGTGACCCTGTGCACAACAGAATGAAACATTACCTGGTCCTGTGCCAGCTCCATGATCCTTGCTATGCCTCAGTCTATTGTTGTAGCCACTGTGTCAATCCATCTTGTTGAGGGCCTTCCCCTTTTTCATCAACCCTCCACTTTACCAAGCATGATATCCTTCTCTAGGGAATGGTCCCTTCTGACAATATGACCAAAGTAAGTGAGACAAAGTCTGGCCATTCTCGCTTCCAAGGAGCATCCTGGTTACAGTTCTTCCAGGACAGATTTGTTAGTTCTTTCAGCAGTCCATGGTACTTTAAGTATTCTTTGCCAACACCACACTCAAAAGCATCCACTCTTCTTTACTCTTCCTTATTCATTGCCCAGCTCTCACATGCATATGAAGCGAATGAAAATACCGTGGCTTCTGTTAGGCACACCTTAGTCTTCAAGGAGATATCTTTGCTCTTCCACACTTGAAAGAGGTCTTTTTCAGCAGATTTGCCTAATGCAATACATGGTGTGATGTCTTGACTGCTGCTTCCACTGGTGATGATTGTAGAACCAAGTAATATGAAGTCATTGACAGCTTCAATCTTTTTTCCATTTATCATGATGCTGCTTATTGGTCCAGTTGTGAGTATTTTTGTTTTCTTTGTGTTGAGGTGTAATCCATACTGCAGACTGTAGTCTTCAATTTTCATCAGTAAATGCCTCAAGTCATCTCTTGCATGAACTATTTAAATAGCCTTCTAACTGGACTTATTTTCTTGTTGTTGTTAGGTGTCGTTGAGTTGTCTCTGACTCATAGCAACCCTATGCACAGTAGAACAAAACACTGCCTGGTCCTGTGCCAGCCTCACAATCCTTGCTATACCTGAGCCCATCTTGCAGCCATTGTGTCAATCCATCTCATTTAGGGCCTTCCCCTTCTTCGTTGACCCTCTGCTTTACAAACATGATATCCTTTCCAGGAAATGGTCCCATCTGACAACATGACCAAAGTAGTTGAGACAAAGTCTGGCCATTCTCACTTCCCAGGAGCATTCTGACTGCACTTCGTCTAGGACAGATTTGTTAATCCTTTTAGCAGACCATAATACTCTTAGCATTCTTCTCCTTATTTTATCTAACTTATCTTCTGTAGGGAGCCAGAATGATCTTTCTGAAATGCACACCTGATTATATGATTCACCTACTTAAAATTCTTCAGGATTTGTGTTTGCAGGTAGATTAAAATCTAAAATCCACAACATCATTTATAATACCCTACATAATCTAGCCCCTGCCTACCGCTAATATCATGTAGTACCACTTTTTCCTTTCCTTAATATGCACCAATTATTCTGGTTTTCTTCTAATTTCCTGAGTATGCTTTTTATTATCTCTGGACTATTGCACAAATTAGTCCCTCTATATAAAATGTTCTCCCTCCACTCTGCCTGGATAATATCACAGAAAGAAGGGGAGGAAGGGAAGAAATTGTTGCATGTAGTAGAAAGAGCATAGGCTTTGAATCAGACATAGCAGAGTTAGAAATACAGTTTCCCTGATTCCTTGTAGCCTTAGACAAGTTACCTAACTTCCCTAAAGATCAGTGTTTTTATCTATAAACTGGAATTAATAATACTGACCTTATTAGAAGACATGTACCTGACCAATTGACTAAGAGAGATCCATATATGTATCCATGTCAAAGAAAGGTGATTCCAGAATGTGGAAATTACTGAACAATATCATAAATATCACATTCAAGTAAAATTTTGCTGAAAATAATTCAAAAATGTTTGCAGCAGTACATAGACAGGAAACTGGCAGAAATTCAAGGTGGATTCAGAAGAAGACATGGAACAAGAGATATTGTTGCTGATGTCAGATGGATCTTAGCTGAAAGCAGAGAATACCAGAAAAATGTTTACCTGAGTTTTACTGACTGCGCAAAGGCATTTGACTATACAGATCGCAACAAATTATGGATAGCATTGTGAAGAATGAGAATTCCAGAACACATAATTGTGCTCATGCAGAAATTGTACATAGACCAAGAGACATTATTTCAAACAAAATAAGGGATACTGCATGGTGTAATCTCAGGAAAGGTGTGCATCAGAATTGTATCCTTTCCTATACATATTCAGGCTGTATGCTGAGCAAATATTCCGAAACCTGGACTATATGCAAAAAAACTTGGCATCAGGATTGGAGGAAGACTCATTAACAACCTGTAATATGCAGATGCCACAACCTTGCTTGCTGAAAGTGAGGAGCACATGAAGCACTTACTGATGAAGATCAAAGACTACAGCCTTCAATATAGATTACATCTCAACATAAAGAGAATAAAAATCCTCACAATTGGACCAATAAGCAACATGATAAAAAGAGAAAAATTGAAGTTGTTGAGGATTTCATTTTACTTGGATCCGTAATCAACGCCCATGGAAGCAGCAGTTGAGAGCAAACAACATATTTCATTAAGCAAATCTGCTACAAAAGACCTCTTTAAAATGTTGAAAAGCAACGATGTCACTTTGAATACTAAAGTGTACCTGACCCATGTAATAGTATTTCAGTAACCCCGTGCATACAAAAGCTGAACAATAAATAAGAAGAGAGATGAAAAATCAATACATTTGAATTATGGTGTTAGCAAAGAATATTGGATGTACCACAGACTGTCAAAAGAACAAATCTTTCTTGGATGAAGTAGAGCCAGAATGCTCCTTAGAAGAAGAATAATGAGACTTCATCTCTCACACTTTGGTTATATTTTCAGGAGGCACCAGTCCTTGGAGAAAGATAGCACGCTTGGTAAAGTAGAAGGTCAGCAAAAAGGAGAAGATCCTTAATGAGATGGATTTACACAGTGGCTGCAGCAACAGAGCAAGGTTTGTGAGGAGGGTGGCTCAGGACCGGGAGGCGTTTTGTTCTGTTGTGCATAAGGTCACCTTGAGTCAGAACCAACTCAGTGGTAGCTAACAAC